GCAGGCTCACGTACCTACCTCAGCCCACCTGGGCTCAGTAGCAATGCCAGTGCCACAGTCCAGTATAAAGGGGTCATGCTCATAAGATGCAGCTTTGGGTGAACACACAGGCACCTTCCTAAAAATAAATCCCTGAGGAATGCAGTTAAATGCAAACACTACTCTTTCTATAATAGACATCACTTTCCTTATTGGATTGGCTGGCACAAGCTGATCATGGTCAAGTGATGTCTTGGTTTTTGAAGACTGCTTTTTAAAAGAAAAAAGTACTGAAGAATGAACAGAGAGACTGATTTTTTCAAATGAACCTAGAGAAGTCTGGTGTTCTGGTCTTTCCCTTTGAAAGTCCCAGAAGCTGAGTCTGAAGATTACATTATTCTAATACTTTTCTAAGTTAATATCAGATCATTTTTTCTGTGTCAAATATCTTAGCCAGCATTTTCTATTTTTTTTAAAGATTCAGTATTGAGCAATAATGTCCCTTTTACATCCACACAGCTACATACTTTTTTCTTTCATAATTTTGTATTTGGAACCAGAGCACCAGTTTTATTTATTTTAAAAATACATTTTCACAGACATCAAATGACAATGATCTTCATGGTCAATGTTGAAGTGCCATTTAAGCACTAATTTCTAGACAGATGTGGGACAAATTCTGGTCTTGGATGCTTAGCTAAAGTCAGACACATCCAGCCAGTAACGAAACCAGATGTCTAATGAACTAGACCACCCAAAAAAAGCTTTAGAAGTCTGGCTGTTATCAAAAGGTATTTCTTTAATCCTACCTGTCACATTTTCAGTATGTTCTCATATTTTTTCTGCTTAAATATAATCTTGGAGGATCATACTTTGAATAGCTACTCATTTATCAGCTAGGTTTTATATTTGCATGTATTTTTCTGACTGGCCACCTTCCTCTGGGGAAGGTAGCAGCTGAAGACCGGGAACCACAGCACAAACAAGGAAAGCCAGCTCCGCGGGACTGTAAAAAGCTGGCACTCTGTCCCTCCTTCCTGGGAGACCTCTGAGACAGGAGGGTACAGGGACACAAGTCACTGGCTCCAGTTTCCTATCAGCTTCACCAGGGCCGGGTCTCCAGCTGACGGTGAGGGAGAGAAAAAGCAAACGGTCACCTCCTGGTAGAGGCGGTGTTACTGCAGGATGAGCTAAGAGTGAATACATTTCTCTACACCCATGGGAGGGACTTTTAAATATCACTGTGATCACTGGACCCTCCCCTCCAACCTGAGCCGATGCTTAGAATAAATCAGTCTCTGACTGACAGCACTAAAGATTTCGGTTTTATCCCTATTACTAGCCTGTAAACATGAAGGATGAAGCCCGTGGTGTGAGCTGTTTGAAGAGATATTTTGCATTATTAAAAAAAAAAAAAAAAAAAAAAAAAGGATGAAGGGGAAAATAATTGCTGAGATGCAGTCAGCTTTGCCAGGGAAAGCAGCTCTCTGTTACCTTGAGCCGGCTGCCTCTTTTGAGGTTCAGCCATGACAGTCAGCCAGCCGAAAGCTAAATGAGAAACACATCCTCTAAACGCGGTGGGTCCCCTTGTGGTAGATGATTTCGATGGAGCTGAGCTGGATTTAAATCAGCTGCCCAGCACACTGCTCTGTGCCCGCCAGCAATAGCACAGGGCTGCCTACCCGAAAATTCACCCAGCCCCTTGGGCACACGGCGCAGCCCACACCGCACTCGCCGCTATCTCTGACAGAGCTATATCTGGCCAGCAGCCGTGGGCTCTGTCCGTCTGCCTCCGCCGCGGCAGAAATCACACACAGCCACGGGACGACGCGGCTGCCAACCCTAATGAGCGGAGCATGAGGCTGCTGCCCGGATGGAGCCCTTTTTCTTAAAAACAAGGGCAAAATCGTGCTGATGAGCTAATCGCCCTAACAGCGACTGAGCAGGGCACCGGTCAGACACTCCTCTCCTTTAATACAGTCAGATGTCTCTTACAGATGGGCTGATATTCAAGCACCTTCTAAAACATGACTCCTTCTAATACCATGTTGGTGAAAAAATAAAGAGAAAAATAAAGGAAAAAAAAAAGGACATTTTGATAAACAACTGTCCCCACTTCATTCTGCTCCCCAGGTCCCAGTGGAGCTGAGAGTGCTGCTATTTGAGATGGGCTGAAACCGCTGGCTTCTGTTCAGAATCTATAGAGCAATGGGCCCCTTCCTGGGGCAGGGAAGGTGGTAGGGCTGGAGCCAGGCTTGAATTTCAGACAGAGCTGGACTGTCCCAATAGTCAAGAACATTTAGAGGAATTTGGCCAGGCCCTTTTCTCCTCTGTAATTGATGCCTCTAGCTGTGAGATGTCTTTTTGTTGTTGCTTGGCCAGAAATCCCTGTAAAATGCCCATTCGTATGAGATTTGTGGCCATATTGCCAGGGGCTCTAGTCATTTCGGCAGTGATGGACATATCAAAAGCCAGATATTAAACTCTTCCTGATCGTGCATTGGAAACTGCCCCAAAGTTCGTTCCAAAGCAGATTTGCAGAGTGTAATGTTCAACACAAGCCTCTTGGAGCCAGTCCAACCTTTAACCTGAAGTTATAGCTTGTCTGCCCTCAGAAAAAAAAAAGGAGCAGACAAAATGTAGCAGATACGAATGTACAAATAATCCAGTACAGTTATCACTTGGGCAGAGGAGTGAAATGAGAAATTCCTCTTGCTGCAACCTCCACAACCTGGTGCTCCTGCAAAGGCGCCTTGTCTGTCTTAACAGCAAATGCAGCCACAAATGGTCAAGCTGCCAAGAACTGGTAAGTCCAGTGTTTATATCCATGTACCTCAACCCACACTCCTTTCACCCTCTTCCTTTTTTATGCTGATAGTGCACCAATTATGAGACATGAAAGACCTTTTGGGCTATCTAACACATCCCTCCTGGGAAAAGGGCAGGGCTCCACATTTTGATATCTGCTTCAGTCTCTCTGTTGCGTTACAAAATCACCCATCACCAGAGCAGCAAAGGGCTGGGTAAAAGCGTTTTGCCTTAGCTCCAGCTTAAACTCAAAACTTTTCTTCCTTTGAAAGAGAACTTTGTGCACAGTGCAAAGCTTAGCCTTAGCCTCCTCGCCACTGCCAATGTCTTCAGGAGTGCGTAAAAGACAACCCTACTCTGGGCTGCAGCTTTATGGTGAAGTGAATGGAAGGGCAAGCTGCCAGGGGACACAGCCCCACACCCTGTGCCTTGCACTTCATTCACCACCATATGCCCAGATGCTGAGCTGGCTCTGGGAGCTGGCTGAAAATGAACTTTTTTTATTTTTTAATTCCTCAGGTTAGTATTCAGACAGCTCTGTCCTCTAACTCATCTCTCTGTCCATAGTGGAGATCTATAAATAGGAAGGAAAGGTGGAACAAAAAGAAATAATGGGAAGGTGCAGGGGAGACAAGCCACCTTTTTTCATCTGTGGGCCCAAGCTGAGGGCCAGTGTAGTTACCCAACATTATCCCTGCTTTTGAGTTGGGAAAACAGTGGTTGGAGTTTCATGATGGCTTTTGAGAGGATGCACTTGCAGGCTGCCACTGCACACATTAGGTAGACCTAAAGAGGCAGTGGCATTCACCAGCACTATTTTGTGAATGGAGCTCTCAGCAAGGAAGCTTTTCCTCTTGCCCTCCAGTTTCCCTCTTTTCAGTTGCACTGTCATTTAACTCCATGCAATCCCTGTCCTTGCCGCGTGGGCCTCAGGCATTTGCAGCCCGTGAGGATCATGGGGACCCAGCCTTGCAGCTGCTCTCTCTCTGTCATTCAAGTCTGAGTACTGACATGTGTGGTTTGTAAAAGAGAGGGACCAACCAGCAGCCCAGCTGGTCCAGGGCCCTGTAGCACTGTCGACACTGTGGGACTGCAGAGAAGGGGGGATCTGGGACTGGGAGGAGTGGAGGCCAACAGTAGTTCTCGGTCCAACCAGCCCCACATGGCTCCTGGAAATGCTACAGATGGCTGGTGAAGGTCAGTGCTGAGCCAGGGGCAAAAACTCCGCAGTGGAAGAGCCACAGGAGAAGGCTGTAGGATGGAGTTTTGTCTGATTAAGTAGCACTGGGAGAAGCCCATGCCAGCACCTTGAAGTCCCTCTCGTGCTGATGGAGGGGATAGCCTCGAGAAGGGTCCTATGAGGGTGCCAGGCTGACTTAGAAACCCCAGCACAAGCCTTGTCCCCTGCAGAGCTCAATGGAGCCTCGGCCAGCCCCATACCCTTCACCCAGCCCCACACACCTGTAGCCTGTCCCCAGAGGATAGGGTGCGATGGCTGTGTGCGATGGTCCCAGCTGCAGACCAGCCCTACCACGACTCCCCAGGGCTGCCCCACGCGTGACCCCTTTCCCCACGCCACCCTCTGCGGTGCCGGGCCTTGCCACAGCCGGGCTGCTGCCGCCGGATTGAGCACCGGCAGTAAGGCCGGGAAAGGAGACGGGCACCCCCCTCCGCACCCCCCAGACCTTCAGCCTGGGGGTGACTTCATGGTATGGGGGAGGGGCGGTGCAGGGGGAGGGACCCCCGCCACCTTCCTTTCCCACTCGGTGCTGACGCAGGCGCGGGGGCCGGGCCGGCCAGCCCCGGACGAGGCGGCCCGCGGGGCGGAGGGCGTTCTTGCCGTGGCTTATCCCACCCCGGGGGGTGGCTCCTCCGTCTGCGTGTGCGTGTCTATGTGTGTGCGTGTGTATGTGTATGTGTGTGTGCGTGCGTGTGTGTGTCCCCCCTCCCGACCCCGCATCTCTCCCGCCCCAGGGGGACGGTCCCTGCTACCGCCCCCGTCTTCACCACACGGGGCAGGAGGAACGCGGGGAGGGGAATTTCTCGGCGATTAATGGGGCGGGGGGACACGGGGAGAGCGGGTAAATCCAGCCTGTGATGCCTATAAATGGCGTTTCTCTTCCAAGGTGCCACCATTTATATTAAAAAAAAAAAAAAAAAAAAAAAAAAAAAAAAGGAGGAAGGGGGGAAAAAACCCGGCCGGTGTCATCCCCCCACGTCAGGGCCGGTGGTGGGCGTGAGGCTGTACTTCCTCCGCCCCCTCCTAATGGAGCGAACCATTCCCAGCCAGCCTTCCTCGCCCTCTCCCGCTGCCTCCCTCTTCCTCTCCTTCTCCTCTTGTCTCCCCCCCTTGTCTGCAAAGTCCTCCGCTGCTCGGAACTTGTTGGCAATGTCTATTTTTCAGCTTTCCCCCACGTTCTCCAAAGTAACTATTTAAAGATCTGCAGCCGCAAATGGTTTTACTAAATGTAGGATGGGACTTAAGTTGAACGGCAGTTATATTTCTCTGATCCTTGCTGTACAGATAGGTAAGTGGACTGCCAAATTCCGTGTCAAGTTGTGCGCACCCAAGCCCGGCTGATGCATGCAGGAGCGGAATGTCGGGATAACCTGCGCGGAGGGCCGCGGTGCGGGGCGGCGGCGGCGGGACCCCCGCTCCGCGTTCTCCGCTGCCCGCGTTCCCTTCGCGGTGGCAGCCTCGCCGTTCGGCACGCTGTCAAGGCAGGGGAGTCCGCAGGAACCGATTTCTGATTCCTCTGAAATCACTTTTGTTGTTCGTTTTCCTGAATCGGTGCATGCTCACTCATACTTTGCTTTTTATTCCCCCCTACTCCTCATTTTTTTCCCTCCTGTTCTCTCCGTCCCCACGAACGGTTGTATTTGTATTTGTATCATGGTTTTCGGATATCCCCTGCATTCCTTCCCACTTACAATTTGGTAACTCCTCGAGATACAGAAAAATAAGAACCGGCATAAAATGACTTGCGAGAGATATAGGTGGAAAGTTTTTTTGCAGAAAATCAGGGGGACAAGCGAAGGGCTCCCTTTGGCACCTTGAAGCTCTTCCCATTTGCAGAGCAGCCTAAAATCAAACAAAACCCGTCACTAACTTTAGGAAAAAAAAAATCCTTCGAAATGCAGGGATTAAGCAAATAAAAAATATTTTAAAAAAATTGCGGAGTCCCACTGCCCAATCGTTAATTTTGTGCTCGGAGAAGCACTGTCAAAAACCGAACGGGTCCAAAAAATTTCTATATATTCTGTTACTTAAAATAGAACAGATTTCCTTCCATGCCACTATGTGTTTTTGTGTGCTCGTTGCTGGTTTTGTTTAATATCTTGGGGTTTTCGATGCAGTTGCTCTCGGGTTGCTCTGCTCTCGATGTTGGTTTGCTCTCAGGTTCATTTTACACAACATTTCTTTGCTGAAATTTTTTTGAGTTACGGACATTAAATAATATCTAAGTTAATAACTACTTTGGTCCTATACAGGAAGATTTTAAAGATTATATATGAATATGTATATATATATATTATATGTGAATATATATATGAATATCCCGAACATGATCCAAAACTGGGCTTTAAGGAAAGGGGGATTAAAGCGTATCTTTTGTTACCTGGACTGTGAGGTGTGAAGAGCCCTTTGAAAATATTTGCAAAGGAATTCTGATACAATTTAAAAAAAAATGCTCGGCATTGCTATTTAGAGATCCTTTTGCTCGGTCACTCTCCTCTCCATAAAACCTCTGCAGCATTTTGTGAGTACCAAAGAAAGAAGAGGAGGGAAAAAAAGGGAGAAGGGGGGAAGAGAATTAAAAAGAGAGGCAAAATCCCTTGAACATTTTCTCAAGTAGAAAAGAAAAAAAAAATTTGCAATGAAATGTTGACCTCTGGGAAACGTGGTTAAATGATGCAAACCCCTCCATTCGTATTGCCATTCTATTTTAAATGAGGTTGAACTCTTCAGAAGGCCATTTTTTGTACTGTCAGAGAAAGAAGGGGGAAGGCTTTATTTGGATGTTATTCTTGATTTCAGTTCTTCCATTTTTTGTTTGTGTGTTGGTTCATTCGTTTGGAAGAGGAGGATGATTTTCTTTCTTATGTGTTTATTTGGTTCAAATGAGAAAGGATTTTATTGACGGTGAAATTTCAAAAGGCAGCTAGAGTCGCTGGGAAACGCCGTTCCCGGGCTGGAGTGAGCATGAGCAGTCATTCGGAAAGTTACCCCAAAATACTGCTGCACACCGCGGGGATGGTGGCGGTGCGGTGGCTTTGCGGTGCCCTGGGAGGGGACAGCTTTGAAGCTCGTGCAGGGCTTTTCTCCTCTCTGCTCCTCCTTCAGTATTTCGAGTTACCTTCCCCCTCCCTCCTCTCCACACACACCCCCCCTCCCCGAAATCAGCTTCTGGTTGTCGGTGTGGGGTTTGCAAAGGGCCAGTCGCCTTTGCCCCGTCCCCGGTAGCGGCTCGTCTGAAATGGATGTTCGGCTCGTTCCCAAAACGTCTATGCACCGGGGCTTGTTTAAAAAAAAAAAAAAAAAAAAAAGAATATTTATTTATTTATTTAAGGAGAGAGGATTGGAGCTGTCCGAAATCCCTAACATTCTGGGAGGTGACCGGGCTGGGGGGGTGGGAGGGAGCGGAGACTGAGTCTCGGTGGAAGGGACAGGAGGGATGGACCAGTTGCAGGATGGGGGACCGGCTTTTGGGAGGGGGCTCAATCCGTCACGGAGGGCTCCTGCGGTCCTTCTGCATTGTACATTGCTGCACACTCTTATCTCGGAGTGGGGGCGGGGGTGTGGAAGGTCGTGGCCACGGCAAGACACAAACGACCTAGTTCAAGAGAAATCTCACTGTCTTTTAACCAGACAGGAGCCTTGTCTATCCGCTTTTGATTTTTAAAAAAAAATTATTTATGGTGTTTAGGGCGTCTTTGGACCGGGGGTATCCTGTGCGGAGGGAGCGGCGTGGGCAGACAGGGCCAGGCTGCCCCTCGGGAGCGAGGGATGCTGGGCTCGCCACTGGTCCCAAACCTGACCCTCTCCCACACCCACCCTGGCCCGGGGCAAGGCTTCGAACCCCGTATTTTCAGCGCAGCCCGACACGTTCTGGGAGAAATTCGCGGCAAATCCCCCTCCCCTTTCCCGCTGTAGCTGCCGGAGCGGGATGGCGCGGGTTTTATAGGACATGGTTTTACCCTCGGGATGGTCCTCGGTTCTTCTCTATTTGTTTGCCTGGCTTTTTTTTCCTATCGTAGCCAATGTCTGGAGCCTGCTGGAGGTTTGATATGACGACTGGTGCTGGTGTGTGTGTGTGTAGAGGGGAGTGGCCACCAAGTCATGTTAGCGATGAATCAAACAGCAAGAGGGGGATTTGGGTTGAAACAGTCTCTTTTGGAGTCAGCCATTTAGCTTATGGCTGGTACTCGGCAAGGAAACACACACACACACCCCGTCACAGCCATGCCCTGGGGACAGGGGGCTGGGGGAGACCCCCACCCCAATACCCGACGGTGTGGGCGGCAGGGCACTCCTCCGCAAAGGAGGGGGCAGCCCCCTCCCGCCCCCGCTGGCCGCAGCGACATCCCCCAGGCCTAGGGACACCACGGCGTCCCCAGCTCCTGTCACGGGCAGGAGAGCTGTTGTGGGCCAGCCCCCTCGCCGTTCCCGGGTAGCCCAGCCTGCTGGGCTGCTGCGGGGGTGTGCGCGATGCTGTGCGCGGCACAGGCCAGGACGTGGGTCCTGCGTCCCGTCCCGTCCCGTGCCCCCACGGGGCACACGGCAGGAGTCATCTCACGCACCCCATAACTCATTTTTTTTCACCGTTTGCGGGCGGTTGTTCTTGTGTTGATTACTGTTGTATTGAACCGCGCGCCCTTTCCTAGAGCCATCCCGAGGGATGCCCGGGGCAGCGGGTTTGGGGGAGCAGGGCTCACCCGGGCCCCGTCCCACACAAGCATGGCCAGGCTGACGCCCCTGCAGGTGCCTGCGTGACTTCGTGGTCCCTTCTTTGCGTGTCGCTGTCGTAGCTCTTTCTAGTGATATTTTTTTTAATTTTGTTTTTCCCCGCTGCGCCTTGCACGGTATTTGCCCTGCGACCTGGGCGATGGGGAGCGTGTGCTTGCGCCTGCTGCTTCAAGGCAGAATTTTCTAACAAAGGATCAAGTCCGGGGAGAAGCAGGCAGCGCATCTTCACCTCCCCTCCTCCTCGCCATTCAAATTAAAAAAATAAAAAAAGGGGGGGGGGGAT